CGAGCCAGAATTACTCTTGTGGGTGATTGCTGACTAGGAGAGGACAAAGGAGCCTGTTGAGGTGATGAAATGTTGTATCTGATCTGGGGGTAGTCACATGACAAATTAAAACACTTCAAAGATCAAATATAATAAGAAATTACGTAAGGGTCCTTGACATTTTTTGGCATTTTTTGTCACAAATCATAATGGTAATGTTCTCATTCTTAGGTTGGGTGATATATTCCCAAATTTCATGTTATGTGTGTGTGTGAATATACCCACATGCTCACCTCACATTCTTTCTTTTTTAAGATTTATTTATTTGTGCGTACAGAACTAGGGTACAGGCCAGAGGTGCAGGGGCGGTGAGAGGATTCACCAGAAACAGAGTGGGGAGCAGTACAGCAGACTGACTGCAGTACACTGCTGAGGGGAGCAGCGGGCGAGACAGGAGAGGTCTGCTGCACCCTGTGGGTCAGCTCCCTGGCGGGGGATCGAACTCACGCTTGCAGTGGCTGCGGATAGCTTCTTAGTACTGCACTTTAACCCCCTGACCCACCCCTCACATTCTTTTTTTTTTTTAAAGATTTATTTATTTATTCGTACAGAACTGGGGTACAGGCCAGAGATGCAGAGGGTGAGAGCCTTCACCAGAGACAGAGCCGGGAGCAGAACAGGCAGATCCACGAAGCACACCGCCGAGGGGAGCAGCGGGAGGGTCAGGAGAGGTCTGCCGTGCCATGTGTATCTCCTCCGGGGCAGGCGGGGATCGAACTCATGCGGAAGTGACTTTAGCTTTTTAGTGCAGTGCTTTAACCAGCTGCGCCACCAGGGAGGGCCCCCCTCACATTCTTTTCAATGATTCAAATATCACATAATTTTTAAAAAATGTTTAAGAGCATTGGCCCTCTAGGTAGGCCGAAAGAGCAACTTTAAAAATCAGGGGGTCTTCATTTGTAAGGGTGGAGCTAGCATTAGGGAGGTGAACCAGATGAGCCCAGGAAGGACAGTTTTAGCCATAACAAAGCTTCCTACCATAGCATTAATCATCTACAGAGCACTGTAGATGATTTAAAGAAAAAAAATTGTGCTCTCTGCCTCCAGCAAAAGGGGAAATTTTTAGAACAATTTTGAAGGACTGAATAAATGATGGCCAGTGAAAAGAATTACATTATTAGATACCTTTAGCAGAAATATTAATGTAAAATGAGGTGGGGAAGGAGTAAGTGGAAAGAGGGAAAGAACAAAAATACCAATGAGCTTTCTACATTTAGGGTGTGTATTACAATCGAGAAAATATGATGTAAATAACCGGAAAGGGTCTAGAAACAACACCTGTTCTGGATTCAAGAGCCCACTGCTTTCTGTGTCCTTCCCCGCCCCCCCCCCCATCTCCAGTGCCTCCTCTATTCATTCAATGACAGGAAACAGAGCTTTCTCTCTGCAAGCCTGCGTTCTCAACACCTGCGTTCTCAGCAATGTGCACTGATACATTTCTCACATGAGAATAATGACCATGATTTATTAGCTGCCCACATGAGATGGGCACTGTGCTAGATACCTGACATACAAGCCTTCTTTTTTAACTATGACAACTGCACTCGTCAACAGATGTTGACGAAGAACAAATAAAACGGCTAGAGCAACCCAGCTCTTTGCTAACTTCAAAGCGCGTCCTTTCTGCTGCTATGAAGCCCTATGTCTGTGCAATGCAGGCACATCTTACCTGCTCAATTATTATGTTCTAACAGTGCTGAAAAGGCACAGCCCTCCGCCATGTTTCCAGAGAGAAGAAAAAAGATGCATTTAAGCATTTTTCTAAGGGTGAACTTTACTGTGCCAACTTGTGCTGCCAGAGAATACCCTATGACTGTAAGGTCAGAAGGAGCACTCCCTGTCAGTCAGCTGGTGCATTAGCTGCCGCGAGGTTTAAGCTAACTGCACCCACCTGTCAAGCCAGCACTGCCACCATCACGGCCTCCTGGAGTCTTCCCTGGTGGTCTCTGGAACGCCATGTCTTTCCCTACTAAGGAAAGTGTGGAAGAGAACCAGACCTAACCCCTTTAGCATTTGGGGGTCTCTCCAGTTACCTAAGTTGCACCCCTACCCATGTGCCCTAAATTGCGGGAGCACACCGCTCGCTTTATTCTACATCCCCTTCACGGCAAGTTTCATCAGAAGTTACAATGAATCCTCAAATTAGGTCACAGGACTGAAATTTCATCTGATAGCCCTTTTAATTACCTAGCTAACCGGGACAGTTGGCTGCCAACAGCAGAGAGCCCGGCACATTGTGCGGGCTCAAAAAAAAAAAAAAGTTGATTATTAATGCAGCCAAATTCACTCAGTCCATAATAACTACCTGGTGCCACTCCCTCCCCAGCCACTAAGCTAACCCGGGCTGCAGAGCGAGGGAAACTCACCCGCTCTGAATGGACCTTTCCGTGAGGAAGTTACAACCTATGAACCAGATGCCCGACACAGCTTTGACCTCCCGCACCGAGGCTCCGCATTCCACAGCGGATAAATACTTGATGACCAGATAGTGAGACGAACTATCCCTCCCGTGGACCTCTGACAGAATGGAATGACTTTTTTGTGTGTGTGAGCTGAAGCCATTTGGGGGGTTTGTTTTCGTTTTTAAGTATTAATCGGAAGGGCAGTTTTATTATTGCCGGGGAAGGTCCTTTTCGTGTGTGCCCCATGGAAAAGTCCTTATCTCCGTGGTTCATTTCTTGCAATTCGACCGCTCTTGGCATTTTAAAGAGCTCAAGGCGCCACATTTTCGCCGCCGCCGGGGGGCTATTAAGGCTGCGACTCCCCTCAACTCTTTGCTCGGAGGGGTAACCGCTACTCACTAGCCCCTTCGGAATTCCCTTCTCTTTCTCCCCAGTGTGGTCAGTATCCAACCGCGGGGAGATGGGGAGGCCATGCCGTCTGTGTTTACAGTTGGCGTTTGCGCGTCTCCCGTCCCGGGGAGACGGTCGCGCTGCCACTCACATCCGGCTACACCGCTCTAAGCAAACCACGCTGCGGGCTGCAACCTACAGGGCGGATCTGTGGCGGCTGGCAGGCTCGGCATTGGAGTGATGCAGGGGGATCGAGAAGGATCTGGAAGAATCTGGTTAAACCGGGAAACGGGCGGGGGAGGGCCCGGGAGCGCGCCGGGCGGGGAGAGAGGGTGGCCCCCCGAGTCGGGGGTCCCCGGCGTCGGCTGAGGAGGGAGCGGGCCGCCCGCGGGAGACGTGAAGCAGGAAAAGAAAATTCGCCCAGGCGCCCATTAACGCTGGAGCGCGACCGGCGCGGCCGCCGCCGCCTCTAGAAAGTTCTCTACCCCCGCCCCCTCCGTCCTCCGCTCCCCTCCAGCTCCTCCCAGCCCCTCCCTCCGCGGCGGGGTGGGACCAATCGCTCCCCCCCGGCGGCTCTTTACCCACCCACTCCCGCTCCCGCGCCCGACTCCGCCGCGGCTTGCGAGCGCGCCGGCCGCAGAGGTGCTCGAGCCTTCGACCGGTTCGCAGCTGGCGGCCGCC